TCATCTTTTTAAGTGGGAGAACTTGCACAATTGGTGGCTGACTAAATACTTTTTTGCCCCACTGTATTTTACTTTGTAATGCAACCAAATTGTTTGTAGTTGCTTTAGCTGTAGTGGATACATATTCAGGTAGTCCTTACTTTCCTACTGCAATTGGGACCAGCAACTCTGTGGCCAAGCAATGCGGTCATAAAGTGAAACGTGATCATACCAACTTAAGACATCAGTTCCTGCTGCAGTTTTTAAATTAATGACCCAGAGTTGTTAAGTGTGACATCACATGACCACAACTTGCAACTTCCTGCTGGCTTCCCCATTGACTAGTTGTTGGAAACCAGCTGTGAAGCATGCAAATGACAATAGGATCCTGCAACCATTGTAAATGCATGCCAGTTACCAAGCACCTGAATTGTGATCATGTGACTGCGGGGACACTGGCAGCTGCAACTTCAAGGACTGGTCATAAATCTCCTTTTTTAGTGCCATTGTAACTTCAAACAGTCACTGAACAAGCAGTCAGTAAACAAGGACTATCTGTGCACCCATTTGAAAATTGCTAGCAAAAGAGTTACTTTTCTTGGTAGTTGAACTGTCTGTCCAGATTATTCTGTAACCGTCAGAGAAGGAGATTTAATTTCCTCTTTATTCATAATTATATGAATATAATTATATTTAGTGAATGGCAGCAATATTAGTGGAAAAAATAGCGCTGCTTGAAGATGGCTGGAAAGAATTTGGACATGTGTTCTGAATACCCTTAAAAGGAAGGCAGTTTTTACTGACTCTTCTGTGCCATCTTTTGGAATTCCTCTTAATTGGTAAAAGGAGATGGAGGACAAATTAAATTGGTACCCAAGTTAAATTTCAGTACTGTCATTTTGAAAACTTAATTTCCTTGCCAACCATATATACTGTATATTGTAAAACAGGACTCTTGCTAGATGTAGCAGATATCAGCAAAGAGCAGCTCTGTTTTTAGAACTTCTTTAAAAAAATGAAATAGACTTCATTGAACTTGGATAGATTGGCTTCAGTAAACCTGCATAAGGTGGGGTTGTAAAATATGTTTTATGGTTTCTGTAATATTCAGCATAACTATTTCCTCTGCTTTTTCAAGTATAAGAATCCACATAATATGCCACCTACCCAAATAATTCTCGTAGCTGATTTGTGATTACTTTTTCAGGAGTTGGGGAAAATAATTGGAATAGCTCTTATGAAGAATTTTGGATGGAAAGCAGATCTTAGAAATCCTGATTTAGAGGTAATGTTCCAACTTAGACTGAATTGTTAGAAGCTTTGGGCTTTGCCTTCAGATATCAAATAGTCCCTGAAATATACTGGAGGAGATCTTTATGTGGATTCTTGCTAATAAATAAAATGAAATCTTATGTTACTCTTATAGAATTGAGCATCCTCATACTTGACATCTACAAGTTCCTGTGAAAACAGCCAATATCCAATCTGTAGCGGGGATGAGTTCCAAGTGGCTTAAGAGATTGGAGTATTGTTTTGTTTTGAACGTAAGACAATAGTAATGGAGCAAGATGTTTTTTGCCACAGGTCTACTCAGGAAATAAGTTGCAGTCCTTTCTGTAGGGCTTATTTTTCAGGAAGTGGGTATAGAATTGCAGACCCAATGTACTAAAGATACCCTATGGATAGGTATAATCCTGTCCATGCATAAACAACTTTTTAAAAGTTAAAAAAATAAAATATGCAAGTCCCTAGTTGCACATAACACATCTAAATTATCATCAGATAAAAGAATAGGAGATTTGGAAGCTTGAAGAAAAAAAATTGCACTTGCTGATTGGGAGTAACAACAGAAAGTGCCATAAACATCATCTAGTTCAAGTGATTGAGAAAATATGCTGCCCTTTGTTCACAGTAGATGACCATCCAGCTTTAAAATTTACATTTTCTGACAAAAAAAGAGAAACGAATATTCGTATTTTTTTTAGAGCAGTTCAAGGAAGAGGCAAGACAAAAATCAGAAGGGGGAGGAGTCCTAAACATAAAAACAGAGGTAAGAGTAGATAAAATATATCATTGAGAAAAAGACCAAGGTGTGGAGACCTCTACAAATTTTAATATTAAACAGGAAAATTGGAGAAAGAGCAACAAAAATAAAAGTGCAAATCTTGGAAGATGTTAGGAAAAATCTGAACTTATTAGAGAGGAAAACCTTTGAAGGTAACCATGACTGAAATCTGAAAAAATTACATAAACCTAAAAATAGAAAAGAGACAAAATAAATAGAATAATAATAAGGGATTAAAGTAGAATTTGCAAAGTGGCAAACCTTAGCGATAAAATTTGGACAAAGCTTTCATGTTTCCTATAGGATCTACAATCTAATTCATTGAACATAAGTTTCACTCTCCTTAATGAATATTCTGTGGAGGATGTGCTGCAGGGACAGCAAGATGTACAAATGGCTTGTAGCTATTACTAGTAGAAAGTTTCTGTTGCTTACCATTCTTTAGACAAAAATAAATGGGCATCCAGTATTGTGTTGGGGTTTTGTACATTTTTCTCTTCTTAGATTTCCTTGTACTTATGTAAAAGCAGAAGTGGTGATCTCAAATTTGTACTATGACTTGTATAGTATCCCTGTACTTAAGACATACAT